TTATCATTTATATTGTTATTATCATTTATATCTCATTTTCAAGGAGACAATAATTAGACATATCAGATCCTGTTAATAATTTAAAACTACTTGTTTCTATAAGAGTGCCTTTATTGTTTATCTCTGGAAAGGACAACAAATAAATTTTTTCGTTATTTTCTTTATCGGATGAAGTTTCCTGCCTTGTAGACTCTGATTATTTGTTTTCTTAAATTATCATGTGTTTTGATTGAATTCTACATTGGCGAACTACAATAATTCCTTAATAACTTGATTTCTCGAATTTCTACGATACTTCGATATGTATATGAAAAATAATATAATAAATAAAAGTAATAACGTTGATTTATGTTGTGTTATATATATATGCATTCACAATAATATATAAATCTCAGTAGTATTAGATTATTATCTCAGTAGTAAATTTTTAAATAAATAATGGCAAAAGCAAAAAGCATAACAACATATACGTATAACAGTATAATTATTAGTAATCATAATCTCATTGTATAGGTTAAATGTTATACATAATACACAATTTATCGAGAAGTTGTTACAACGAATCATCTACTATTCGAAATTATTCCATAGAAATTCATTTTGACACAAAGTCTGGAAATTGTGTATCAATTAATAATCGATTGGATTATTGGATTAAAAAAAAGAAAAATTCCTTTGGATCTTATAACAAATTTAATTTCTACACACTTTAGACTATCGTCATTAAATTATAAATTTTTTGTATAAAATTAACGAGCATTCAAACGTTCTTACGTAATTAAATACAATCATATAGACATAAATGATTGCAAGAGTCAGGTTTTATGTACTTGCGAAAAAATTGCATAATTTTCTTATATATGTATACTGAAGAATGACTTAATTAAGACCGAAACGTTTATATTTAATTTTTGTGAATCTTAAATCCAAATATATAGTGCAAAGTGGGTGAATTGTGCGCATCTAAGAGAAATTTATTGTCCTGGAATGATTTTCCAAGTTCAAAGCAATATAAATATAGAAATAGAAACAAATATATAAAATGAGGTTAAAATCGAAAGAATCTATCAGTGAAATGTAAAAAAAGCTTATCGGAGCCTACATCAGCTGTGCACAGAAAATTCTTTATTTTCGTGTGAATGTAATAATGCAAATAAAATAAACGTTCGACCCTTTAATTCGGATTCTTATTAATGTAAATTATAAACAGAAATTACATAAGTAACGCAAATTCCAGGTTGATGATTCCCGACACTTTAGTTCGTTCTTCTTTATCCAAATGCCAAATTAGCTATGTAATGAATATCCCAATGATTATCAAAGTATTAACTTATACAAACATAATATAAAAACTTACATAAAGTACAATTAAAGTCATATACATTGCATCACTAAGTAGAATGACATCGCTCATTAGATTGTCAGATTTGCTGTGTAGTCATTCAAAAGAAACATGAAAATGAAAAATTAAAGAATTTAAAAAAATCATTTTTCTGAATTTTAATTATATCAACTTACGCGTTTTCTCGCGATCCGACGTAAAGGTCTGGTTGTGGTGTCGACAGTCAGAGATACAATGAGAGTCAAAATAATAAAGTCATAAAGTTATTGAAAATAAAAATACGAATAAGAACAAAGGAGGATAACATCAACGTCACAATTCCGTAAGCATTTTAAAATTCATGTATAGTGGGTCTAAAGAATATCATATCTGTACGTATCATTCTGTAAATTTAAACTCTGTTTCTGTTGCTGTATAGCTTCCAAAATCAGCCTTTTATTAAGCACCTTTTCTTCGTCTAATATCTTGACATTTTCCCAATCATGATGACTAATTTTGTGTTCTGTTATTACGGAATACTGTGTAGTGTTCTAATTTATGTGATTTTTATATTTATTTATGCGCGTCTTCAAATATCTACCTGTTTGACCCACATATGATGCTTCACAATCTCGACAATCAATTTTGTATAAACGTCTGTGTGAGATAGCTTGGGATGTACGTCTTTATAACCCTGATGAACTCTTCAAGATTATTAATCCTTTTATGTGCCAAGTGTATTGAGAAGTCTTTTTTAAATAAAAAAAATAAAAAAAATTGAATTAAAAATATATATAAAATTAAATTTAAATTAATAACCAAAAAAATTAATTTAAATAATTAAAACTAAGATAAATAAATTAAATGAAGAATAAAAAATTAATACTAATAAATAAATTAATAGAAAAAAAACTTCAAAAAGTATGAAAACATTTTTTTAATTTCACAATAAAATTTTTTATATATGCTGTTACATTAATTGCATACTTTAAAAAAGCAATCGGGAAACGCCACGCTAAAATTTTCTTATTTAAAGAATTTATCAAAGGTGTTACGCACTGCTCTCCGTAGAAATATAATTTTATTTTTTTTGTCTTTTCGTTTCGCGTTGAATTATTTTTTGTTATTTAATCTCACATCTATCTAAAGTATTTCTATTAATTAATTGCGGATATTCCTAGCGAGAACTTATTCGGCATAGTATGATTCTGCCGCATAATACATGTGTCGCGTGAGCCAATCGAAGTATTCGTGAGGCGCGTGCCGATGTATTGCGATGAAATTCCAGGATAACTTCACGCGGAGTTAAGGAATCGTTCCCATATGTTGGGAATGTCATGTCATTATCATTCTGCACAAGGTTTAAAAGAAATTAATCTGATCGAAATACCTCAATACTTATAATCACTCAGAATAAGAATAATCTATCGCGTACTAATCACGCGTGTCGCTCGTCGCTCCGAATCCTTAGTGGGATTTCAGCCGCCTTAACCGAGAATGTCGAAGTCTCGCGTTATGTTTAATACAATACATTTTTGTTTGATTTGCTATCTTTTGACTATCGTGATCACTTAATTAGTCTTAAACAGAAAAGTAAATGCGAATAGTAATTAATACTAGGCCGGTTCTAACTCTGGTCCTCTGAGGGGAGCGCGGGGCGCGGGGGGAACTCGTAGACGCGGGGGGAGCGCGAGCGGAGGAAGCGCGGTAGAGAGGGAAGGCGCGGGAAGTCCCCGGCGGCATCGTTGTAATATGATCCACATAAACAATACGTTGGACCCGCATAAACAATGCGTTTCTTATTGTTTTTCATCCGCCGCCGCCGCCGCCGCCGCCGCCACCGCAGCTGTTGTGGACCCCCGCGTCCACCCCAAATAATGCGTAGATAACAAGGGTTCGCACGTTAGAGATAGAGCGTGCATGACGCTTTACATGACACAATTATTATCTGGCGTGTGCCAGATTAATAACGCGACTGATATTATAACGTAGTATGTTTTGTAGGCGATAGAGCGCGCGATATGAGTGAAGAAAGGATGGAAGAAATGAATTCTCTTTTTTATGACGCAGTTTCTTCAATACGGTTTTTTATTAGCGCGTCGAGGTATAGGATGGATGGATGGATGGAGAGTAAAATAAAGTACATATATAAAATAATGTGGACGAAAATTTTTTATTCACGTGTTATTACATCGTGTTTTCTCATATTTTTATTACATTTTTTCGCGATCGACAGCGTTCGAACGCAATCGACGGCTCGAACATCGCTAGCTATGACTTATACTTTGATGATGACAATGATGTTGATGATGATGATGATGATGCTGATGATGAATATGTTTGCGATTTTGACGATGTCGATGAGGAGCATGTTGGTGATTTTGATGCCTTTTCACCTGAACGTTCCCAATATCGCGCTTTTTCCCTCGATGACGATGGACTTGGTGGACCTGGTGACAAGGAACTGTACCCCTTGCCCTCGGTCGATTTTCGATGTATTGTATATATTCTTTTACACGATCCATGTCTTATCACTCGTAATCGAAATGTGCGATTGAAAGAAAAAAATTATATACACTGTTTATATACACTATCAGATCGATGATACATCGCGACGCGTTAAGAGAAGCGCCGATGTTCGGCTGCTAAGTGAATCATAATTCTTCTACAGTAAAATGAAAGTGATACCCCAGTGAAGCGTATGAAATCACATTGGGTTCCCACAACCCTTAAATTTCTTCGAAGAAATGTCGATAACGATTTTTTCTGAGAAGAGAGAGACCGATGTAGCGGCATGTAGCGGCATGTAGCGGCATGTAGCGACACGTTAAAAGAAGCGTCGATGTTGTTTATATAAACTAGAATCGCTCGCAAAATGTTGTCTTATCTACTTCTAAATAAAGTATGACTCAATAGACAAAGGGACAAAGGGACAAAGAAGTCGCAAATGAAATATATAATGAGTTATAAGCGCTCAGTTCCGCAGTTGGTGCTCTGGAAGACGAACGAATCGATCGCAATAAGAATAGTGGAAAAAAAGTGTGGGTGATCATCGTGCGAACGTTGAGGACATAGCCAACGTAGTCGAGCACATTAGAAACGTGGATCCTTGAAAAAACTATTGTGAACAGTATTGTGAGCGAGAAAAAATGGAAAATTACGAGCGAGTGGAACGCGAACTGCTGGAGCAGTGCAGCCAGGTCGCTACTCTGATGGAATGTTTCGCATGGCTGTAACGATGCGACGAGTGCATCGAGCGGTTCGAAGAGCTTTGTCGTGCCAAGCGTCAGCGTCTCACCGTTGGGCACAGACAATCCATGGTGGCGAGGATCGCGCGACTCGCGGGTGCAAAGACACGATTAGAGCGACGTTTTGTGCACGTTGGTGGCGGGTACGCAAGTCGCGACGAAAGATCTCTCGTCTGGCGAGAGATCGACGCAGCGTTCGAAAGCCGTATATTGACAGGTGCGGTGATAAACTCTAATCACATCGAGCCGCTGCGGTTTTTGGAAGACGCGAGAGAAATAGTGCTCGAACGTGTGCGAGACGCGGTAGAAAGACACGGTAGTGCAAAAGTGAACACCACGTTCAATGGCGAGTTTGCGACGAAGGATAAACGTGCTAATAAGAGTATAAACACTAAGAACAGCGAGATATACCAATACACCGATTTGCGCGAGTGGTACGAGCAGCATATCATCGAACCCACGCTGACATCACTCGAAGAGTTCCAGGAACGCGACAGCGGGTGGGCATTGTCGCGAATCCTCAATTTGATAGTGAATGTGAACAAACTAAATCCCATGCGCGCGGGATGTTACTTCGAGGTGCCGCGGGAAATAGCGACGAAACGAGCGGTGATCAACGTTAGTACGATGGACAATGCGTGCTTCGCGTGGTCGGTGGTCGCCGCTCTGTACCCGGTTGAAAGAAATGTAACTCGAGAGTCATCGTATCCGCATTATACGACGGTGCTGAATCTCGCGGGTATCGAATTTCCGATTACGCTCAAAGACATTCCGAAATTCGAACGGTTGAACGCGGTGTCGATCAATGTATACGGCATCGATAATAAGCAAGTTCTTCCTCTGCGGCTCACCAGTGACAAGAAGGACAAGCACGTCAATCTCCTGTACATGCAGGATCCGCGCGACGACGGTGTAGGCCACTTTGCGTGGATCAAGAACCTGTCGCGTCTCGTGAGATCACAAATTACCAGGAAAAAGAACAAGAAATATTTCTGCGATCGGTATGTACACCTTAAAAATTATTATAATTTCCCATCTTATTAATAAAATATAGGTAACTATAATAATCTTTTTGTTTTTTCAGATGCTTGCATTACTTCAGCACGAATGAGAAATTGCAGTCGCACACAACGGACTGCCGGGAGATCAACGATTGCGCTATTCGGCTGCCGAGCGAGGACGAAAAGTGGCTCGAATTTGGGAACCACCGCAACAAGGAGCGCGTCCCATTCGTCGTCTACGCCGATCTGGAGTGCGTTTTACGGAAGACGGAACCCGACAGGGAAGGTGCGTCGTCGTACGCGTATCAACGGCACGAGGTATTCAGCATAGGCTACTACGTGCGTTGCTCGTACGACGACGCGTTATCGTCGTATCAGTTCCGTCGCGACAAAGATTGTATAGCGTGGTTCGCGCGACAACTCAACGATTTGGCGCATCGCGTGAAAAATATCGTATCCGCCAACGTGCCCATGGAAACGTTGTCGAAAGAACAATGGGAGGCGTACCGTAGCGCGACGCGTTGTCACATTTGCGAGAAACCGTTCGCGTCGGACGACACGCGGGTACGCGATCATTGCCACTTAACCGGTAGATACCGCGGTCCTGCGCATTCAAACTGTAACTTAAATTATAAAAATTCATTATATATTCCGATCGTTTTCCACAATTTATCGGGCTACGACGCGCATTTTATAATTAAGGAAATCGCTACAGCATATGAAGGACACGTAGATGTATTACCGATAACCAAAGAAAAATACATCTCCTTCACGAAACATGTCGATAGCACTAAAGATAAAACTAAAAATAACTCTCAAAGAAATTGCGTAAAATTAAGATTTATTGATTCTTTCAAATTTCTCAGTACAAGTCTCGATAAATTAGCGTCGTATCTCGATAGAGACAAATTAAAAATTATACGTTCAAAATTTCCAACATTATCGGACGAAGAATTTGAATTACTGACTCGTAAAGGTGTCTTTCCGTACGAGTACGTTGACTGTGCCGAAAAATTGCGGGACACGCTCTTACCACCGCGCGAATCTTTTTACAGTTCGTTAACGGGCGATACCGTATCCGAGAGCGACTACGCTCACGCGGTGAACGTATGGCAGCGATTTTCCATCCGAACGCTCGGCGAGTACAGCGATCTGTACTTGAAAACCGATGTCTTGTTATTAGCCGACATTTTCGAAAATTTCCGCGAAAGTTGCGTCGCGAGTTACGGTCTCGATCCAGCGCATTATTACACCTTGCCTGGTTTCACGTGGGACGCGATGTTGAAACATACGCGTGTAAAGTTTGAGTTGCTCACTGATATTGACATGATCATGTTCATCGAGCGCGGTATACGCGGTGGTCTCAGTCAATGTTCAGGCAGATACGCGCAGGCTAATAACAAGTACATGCGTTCGTACGATCCGTCGGAACCGTCGTCGTACTTGATGTACTACGACGTTAACAATTTATACGGATGGGCGATGTGTCAATCATTGCCATACGCCAAATTTCAATGGGTCGAAGACGCTGCGAACTTTGACGCGAGCGCGATCGCTCCGGATTCGCCCACCGGTTACATTCTCGAAGTCGATCTCGAGTATCCGCAGCATGTACACGACCGACACACCGACCTACCGTTCTGTCCGACGCGCGATAAGCCGCCCGGCAAGCGCGAACTTAAACTTTTAGCGACGCTGTACGATAAACAGCGTTACGTCATCCACTACCGCAACCTGCAGCAATGTACTCGTCACGGTCTTCGCGTAAGATCCATCGGGTGTTACAATTCGCGCAATCTCCATGGCTTCGCGAATACATCGAACTTAATACATGTTTTAGAACGCGCGCGAAAAATGATTTCGAAAAAAATTTATATAAATTAATGAACAACGCGGTATTCGGTAAAACTATGGAGAATGTGCGCAACCACGTCGACGTAAAATTATTAACTAAATGGGATGGACGGTACGGCGCGGAGGCAATGATTGCAAAACCAAATTTCCACAGCCGTAGCGTCTTTGCGGAAAATTTAATAGCCGTCGAACTGCGGAAACTCGAGGTGAAGTTCGACAAGCCGATTTACGTGGGTATGTGTATACTCGACATATCGAAAGTCTGCTTGTACGAATTTCACCACGAGTATATGTTACCATTGTTTAGAGATAAATGTAAAATAATGTACACCGATACGGACAGCCTTATATACCGCGTCGAGTGCGAGGACGTTTACGAGACTGTGAAACGCGATATCGCTAGATTCGACACGAGCGATTATCCGACGGGCAACGCGTACGGTATGCCTCTCGCGAACAAAAAAGTACCCGGTCTGATGAAGGACGAAAACAACGGTGCGATAATGACCGAATTCGTTGGTCTCAGAGCGAAGATGTACGCTGTGAGGGTGGACGGCAAGAAGGACATTAAAAAGGTGAAAGGCGTAAAGAATAACGTCGTAGCGCAAACGATAACGTTCGACGATTACACTCGATGTTTGAACGAAGAGATCGAAATGACTCGTCGTCAATCGTGTATACGATCTAAACTGCACGAGGTATACACGATATCCGAATCGAAAATCGCTCTGAGTCCATACGATGACAAACGATACGTCGTACCGAATTCGACGGAGACGTTACCGTGGGGACATTGGCGGATACCTTTGTAACATATGTACATATCAACATTTATATTACTATTATGTTTTTTACTTTTTTATATTTTCATACGACGTATATGTATTATCTTATATCTTACTTTGTGTATATCTTTTTACATTATTTTAAATATTCTCGTACAATCTACATACCTGTTACTATTATCATTATAATTTACGCATTATGTTTTTACGTTGTACATAAGTATTACTATTATGTTTTATATAGTATCATTTATTATGTATTACTGTTTTTTTTCATTACATGTATCGTACATTTATATACATATTTTATATCTGTATACTCTAAAAAATGGAAAGGATAATAAGAAATATTTTTACACGTTTATATTCTTATATTCTTATATTGTTATACGTATACAAAATATATGAATTAAAAAATTTATCAAATAACATTGTTTTTGTGTATCCATGAATTGTGCGATCCATCGAATCCCAGCCACTTGACGTACGCTTTGTCGCCCTTCCTGCGCAACACTTTCTCCACGAGATACACGTCCGGACGAGTAGCGCGATGCAACTCGTGCTCGTAGAACGCTCCAGCGACGGAATTTCCACGATAGTCCTCGAGTAGATAAGTTACGGGATTGGTACGCTGCACCTTAACGATCGTAAACACTTCGGTGGTCCAATTTGGTGTGTAACCCTTCTCAAAAATCGTCTTGTACTTGCTCACGCGTACCGAATCGCCTGCTTTGAATTTTGCAGGACCCGCTATCTTTATCGCACTGTACACCGTGCCCAAGAGTTTTTCGGCGATCGCAGAAGTTACGTCAGAGGGTCGCATGCCGATGGTGCGATGCTTGCGCGCGTTGTAATCTGACACCAGACGCGGCAGCTCGTCGACCCACTTGTAATTACCGTTGAGTGTAAACATCTTCCACATGTCGTTTTTGAGCGTGCGATTGAACCGCTCGACCACTGACGCTTTCAACGTCGAATACGTGGAATAGTGATTAACGTTGTGTTTTTTCAAGATATTCCGTACATCCACATTGTAAAATTCTTTCCCCATATCCGTTTGTAAATTTTTCGGACATCTTTCGCTCTCTCGAACGATCTCAGCGATAGCGTTCGCCGTCTCGCTTCCACCCTTGCTCTTGAGCGGAACGGCCCACGCGTACTTGCTCAACACATCGATGACGGTGAGTATGTAGTGGTAGCCTCTGTTGAAACTCGAGTACGGACGCATCTCAACGATATCAGCCTGCCACAGATCGTCGTACCCCCGGACTATGACACGCCTTCGCGGAAAATTTCTTCTCGCCGGAGCGTGCAATTCCTCGACGAGCCGACGTTTCTCCGAGCTAATTTTTTCTCTCTTTTCATCGGATTTCTTTTTCATGATTCGACGTGTAATACACAGAGTACAAGAAATTAATGTATTTTTCTCGCTGGTGTCCCTCGACTGACTCGTTTTACGAATACGCGAATTAATTTATAATAAGACCGGCTTCGCGAAGTTCCTCGATGATCGACAGCATCTCGTTGTCGTGAGCGTTGTTGCCCGCTCGGTGCGAAGCGTCGAGCAATCGTAGACGATCCACCAGCTCGTTGGGATCATCCCAGTGCACGTAATCGATCGCGTTGTCGTTCAATGTCATTGCGTGAGGCAATCCCTTTCCAGATTTCTTCTGTTTCTTGGGTGTGATCGACATCAACGGCGCGATTACGTGTTTGTACTTGTATCCTCTGTTGCTCAATAATCGGCCCTGCGAATGATACTTGTGTTTGTGCGCGTTCGTCACCAACAGCATGCTCTTGTACTTGTGCATATCGTCTTCCGTGTAGAGGGCATCGTCGGGAATTCTCTTGAAAATCAACTCGTAAAGACCCGGTGTACCGGCGTATCGTACGCCGTCGATAATTATGTTGTCCGCGTCATCCACGTCGAAACGTTTATTACCAAACATCAGCCCATCCTCATGCAGGTAAACGCCGTACACGCGATCTATACCGCTCTCTTTATCTTTCGCTCCCCTCAGGACGGCCTCGACGTACTTTTGACCCAGCGGGCCCAAACCAGCTCGTAACGCCTCTCGACCTTCCGA